TTAATGCTGCTGCGACGCATTTTTATCAATACTTAATCAATCTTCTCACTGTCAATATTTTGGTCCATTTCGTTACAATTCTTGCGAATAATTCACTAAAACATTTGGCCAAACATTGGTTGTCAAAGGAAAGTACATCAAATGTACTTCCCTTTGACAACCGGAAACGCTTATCAAAGGGTATTACAAAAATGCCAAAATGAGAACAGTTGGCATTTAAGATGACGTTACGTATCTTCGATTCCTGTGTTTGTCACTTAGAGGATGGAAAAAAATAAAAGAAAGGAGCTGCCCTAAGTACAGAATCAACGTGCATATTACCAAAATTTGAAAGTTACAAATGGCGGATTTCTTTAGTGTTGTACCATAATCTATCGATAAGTCATTATCGACATGCAAATGTATGGCTTGAATTTTTGTTTCTTTAGTTTACTGTAACCAAAGTATGCCTAAACAAACACAAGTCTGATAATTTAATCTCGAGTGGTATATTATTATAAATGTCAACACACATTTTTAAACTTCAAAAAAAATTTATTTTCAACATTACAACTGGTAACTTATTTAGTAAAAGTCACCAAACTGCTGTGCAGTTTGTTAGCGACATGCGCATTCTTGCTTACTTATACCTACTTTACTTGTATTTAACATTACGTAGTATTAATTGTACTTACTAAATAAAATATAAAAATTACTTTAAGAGGTACGCCTTTAACCTACATTTTAGTACATATTTACATATAATATTTTTCTTTTTGTTATGAATAAACTAAAAAAAAAAAAAAAAAAAAACATAACGTCTTTTAACTAACCGTCAAGTACAAGTCTATTCAGATTTCTGCGGATTCTAGTATTCCCGTTAATTCCCGGGCTTTCTTAAGCAAATGAATCTATCAAGCAATTTTAACACAGAAATAATGGAAGTAGTTGTAAAAATCAATTATCGGAAATCAACAATTATCATGTACTAGCTTTTCCCCACGACTTCGTCCGCGTACAGTTTTTATACAAATGAAAAATATTCAAGTATGAACCAAATCGCACCACGTGTTAAAAAGTTACCATACAAACTTTATTACCCCATTTCGCCGCATTTTTTAAAAACTGTCATGCCATTTTTTTACCATTTTTATTGTAAAATATTTATGCAAAGTTTCGTCTTTGTAATTTCAAGGAATATTAAAAGTTGCAAAAAAGAAATGACAAAAACGAACGTGGTGGATGCTGATTATTCCAGAAACAGAACAACATGACATTTTGTTGATATATAATATATACTTCTTTATTTTGTGTTTTGATTTTTTTTTGAATAGAGAGTTATAAAACCAGTATGCATTTCATATGCGGACGGACTAAGGTGTGAACGCTATTGGTCGAGCGCCTTTGGTTTGTGATAAGCCGAATGAACTCTTTTCTCACGTTGGCGCTCGCCTTCACTCGGTCAGCTAGGCGAGTGACACCGAACAAGGCAAGGCAAGGCAAATAGGCTGTCTATACGTTGGTATGTTGTCATTGTATTGCAGGCTTTAAAAAAATAGTCTTTTTTAATAGTTAGAGTTGTCATTGGGAAAAATCAGAAACGAGTGGATAATTTTGTTTTCAGGAACTGAGAATAGCTAGTAAATGAGTCTTGTTTAATCTAAATTGAACACAAAATTATTTACCAATAAACCTAATGATGGAATAGCATTGTCATGTAATCTAGTTACATTTAAAGTTCTGTTAAAATTTGACTCTTCAAAATGAAGCGAACAAATGAAGATGGTCTTTGATCCAACGTTTATATTCGGCAGTCCTATGATTTCCAACCATTCTTTCTTCCTTTTTTCATTTGTAGGAAAACTTGTAATAATAATAATAAAACAATAAAAACCTCATAGTGAATTGTTTTAATAACAGAATATCGATAATATGTATGCTTACAAGATCAACACTATCTCAAAATAATCGTTAACAACAATCATCAAAATATACAAACAAACAGGCAATCTAAAGTAACAAAAGCAAAATTTGGCAAGATTTATAAATAAACTACTTAAATAAGTCTAATTACATAAAATATTCGGGCTATTGTGTGATTTATAGACAAAAAAATAACACATGCCTGTGCAATGTAACATTCGATTGATTTGCAGTTTTTCTAAAGCCGCATCCTTTAATGCTGCAGCGTCGCATTTTTATTAATACCTAATTATTCTCACTGTCAATATTTTTGTCCAATTTAATTATAATACATGTGAATAATTCAATAATACATTTGGAAAAACATTTGTTTTATTTACAATAGGATGTACTTCCCTTTGACAACGGTATCATGTACTTGAAATGGCCACGGTTGGCATTTAAAATGACGTTACGAATTTTCGATTCCCGTGTTTGTCATAAATCAATGTTAGTCCTATCTCTTTTGGCTTACGACGGCACGCAGTAGTTAAACAAAGACTTATTGTCTTTGTTTATGTTTCAACATCTAAATGCATCATATACATATAACGTCTGTTATCAACTTCAACTTCAACTTTTGTATCTATGGCTCCGTCGTTTTGCGCGACGATTTCGCCAACGTCAGGGTTGAAAGACATGTAGAGCGGTGGTGAGATAGATTGCCGGTTATTAAAATACTTCATAGATATGTCAATAAAACATATCCTTTGGTTTCCATAGTCAAGTTTTAACCGCGAAAATCTTTTCGAAAGGATGGTAATGTCAAAGACGTCAAAGTCATCTGACTTTGACGTCTTTGACATTACCATGCAGTGTTGCCTATATTTTCCATCCTTTAAGGCCTACACACACACACACAGACACACACACGTCACTATTGAGTTCAATATCATATAAATCTATGCACGTCACATAATAGGCTGTACATTGAAAAAAAAAAAAGTATTTTGTTGAAATGTATTTTACAACGAAAGGTATTTGGAATACAAATTACAAAATACATTACGGTCAGGTATTTAAAATACCAATTACAAAATACATTTTTAGGGAGTAATTGAAATACAAATACAAAATACGTATTTGTATTTTAAATACGTATTTCAATTACAAGTAATTCAAATACTGCCCAGCCCTGCCTATGTGTAACAATCGCGAAAATTTAAGAATTTTTCTTTTTAATTTATTTTTATTCTTTTTTTGACTCGAGCAACGACTAATGGGAGTAAAAGTATGTTTTCTGTTATATTCTATGCATAGTTGCTTAAGTTGTTTATTTTGTAATTCCCGTTTTTGTAGTTGTTTTTGTAACTTCGCGTTTTCCTTAAGCAAATTAATAATTTCGTTGTCCGCTGCGTCCAGTTTCTGATTCAGCCTATTTCCTTCAGTTTTTAAGTCCTGTAAATCACTTTCAAGACAAAATCTAGGCCCGGGGCAGCTTCTATTTAAGTTAATTGAGTTTGATGATATCTCAGTTTCTTCGTCATCTAAAGAGCTGAAGGAGTTCTCAGTAGATACGTTTATGACGATTTTTTGCGATCTGTAACTTCTTCGTTTTCTTTATGAAAATCCAACCAACATGATTGACATTTCCAGGTTTTTTTTTATTATCTGTAGTCATCAGGTGAAATCTTTGACATGAGATATTTGCGCATGTTAAATCATTATGTCTTGTCACAATTTACACAAACTAGAAATTCTCTACCATTTATTTTTTGTTCACATTTATGACGTCGTGTAGTAATTTTTTTTCTAGCAATACTTGGTTATATAGTTCGGTAAATTATCACAAGATGTCACTGCTTTATCTTGTACAATAGAAAGTTCGGTACTGGTTGCGACACGTATTGGAAATTTCGTGTACTATCTTCGGTTTAAAGCGACATCTAGTTGTTGCACTGTGCAACTAGTTGATAAAATCAAACGTTATCGCTCGTGTGACGTATTCACAGCTGATTGGCAGTTGATTGACAGCTGTATGTTGTTTACGTTTGAAATTTAATATTGTAACTGATTGAGGATCACCAATTTTGAGTAAATTTCACTATTCTTGTACAGTCTTGGGTTACATTATGTGTGTTATAGTTAAAGTACTCACTACAATTGGAAATCCCTGGGTTACAACATCCGTTTACACCAATTTGCACAATAAATAACTGGTTATGAATTGTTTATGAATTAACACAATATACGGTAAAGTAGCCGTTCAATCTTTACATAAACACTTGTACTGAATATTTACACTGCATATTTACTGCAACTGTTATGGACAGGCGTGTAGCTTAAAATCAGGCACACATGACTCGTTCGCCCCGTCACTTGATATATTAAAAATAATACATTATAATATGTTTTACTGCGTGCGTGCGTGTATGGGTGCGTGCGTGCGTACGTGCGTGCGTACGTGCGTGCGTACGTGCGTGCGTATGTGCGTGCGTACGTGCGTGCGTACGTGTGCGTACGTGCGTGCGTGCAAGCTTATATAAAATTCAATGTACGCGTCTTAGAACACCACTCACTATGTAGATATAACAAGATACATATTTATTCAAGTTGGCGTTGATGGATTTGACTAACAAAATATAAACATTATTGGCCTTGGTGTGACGAGAATTGTGATTGAAATGACGTAATTTACGTTAGGTTGATGGCTGTGGACCAATGATTGACAATGATCGGAAATGTGTATGTAAATTTGACATAGCATACTTATATAAATAGTGATTAGTTTACTTGACAGATATAATCCTAAAGAAAGATTATGGTATAGTATGTTTTATAAAAAGGCTATTATAATTATTACTAAAAAACCTAAACTGGAATATCTCTTAATCTCCAGTAATGAACATCAAAAATCCACTAATTGATGAACACACAGTAATTGACGCTTGCCAATAATAAACGTGTTACTATGGTAAAACGTGTTTCACACAAAACATCAAACAGTTGATTGGAAAATGACGTTTTATTCCGAATGTGTGTTCAATGGATTTAATCGCAGGTATAAATACTTCCTGAAATAAATGTGTTAGAAAAAAGATCTAATACGAAATACTTACTGAGTAGACTCGAATGGTCCCAAGTGAATAGGTCTCAGAGGTCGGGGTCTCTGCGATCTTTCGTCGTCGCCTCCAAGGAGGGGCTGGAGTTTGTCCCTCTCCTCCGACATCCCGGCTTCCACATCTGAAATTTGTATTTAGGTATATTAAGAACAGAGTGATGATCCCAAAGAAATGCAGCAATCATTAGCTTACGAAGGGGGTCAAAATTACATGTATTATCGTCCCAGGAGATAGTGGAGAAGTACATCAAATTAGACGTCAAATACATCTTGAGGGTCAAACTGTTGGAATTCCGCCACAACGTGAAATTGAATTTATTTGTGATAAGAGTGTCAACTGATTATCTGTCGATCTACTTGGTACTTGGTGTAACGGGCTGGTGTCCGCAACTCGACGTCAAGGCGCCTATTTTGCGTGTGATCTGTCGATCTACATAAAGGAGTCGTTTCGGCCGAAAAGCGTCGTATACTATATGAATCATAATTAAGTGTCCATGTTAAGTGTTTAACTGCCTCGGTGGCCGAACGGTTATCATGCCGCCGGACTGCCACGCAAAGGTCCTGGGTTCTTATATTTATTTCTCTCGTGAGTTTGGGTGTAATTTGTCGTTGTCTATGTGTGTGTCCATGGCACCCGCGACACAGGGTTTCCCTAGTTCGGGACTATGAGTGTGTGCGCGTTATTATTATTATTATTATATTCGTAGAGAAGTTTTAGAAGACCTGCTTTAAGAGGTAACAATAAATAATATAAGAAAACTATGTTTTAATTGAATAAAAACAAAGTGATGTTTATTTTTAAGCGAGTACAAAATTTTGTATTTAAAGCAGTTGTTCGAAACTAAAGCCTCTCTACGAATGTCATAGTAAATGTATGATGGGAGCGTTTACTGTTAAATTTTTGGATATTTCGAAAAGTTATTGATGTCGTTTTACTCATTAGGTAACGTACTTTCGATGTTACTTGACAAGGTTTTTGATATTTCTTATATCCACGGAAAAATCTCCTGGGCACACCAATTAATTGTTACATTTTGCTGCTGAGGTATATATAATGCTTTTCTCAAACATTGAAAGGAATTAATAAAAGACTAAAGAAAGGAGAATGTGTAATAGAAAAAGAAAAAATAATTAATGTTTATGAATATTTTCTTTTCTCACTAGAACCCGTTTAAAAAAATATAAAAAACAGATTAAAAAAAACTTCAAAATGCTTTCGTTTATTTTGCCGCCTTTTCTAAGGTATATGGTACAGGCAGTATATATATAAGATCATTGTGTGCCAGTATAAATAATATTTACCTTAAGTAATTAAACGAAAACTTAATGCTCGTAAGAACGCAAAGAATACCATAGACAATATTTTTTTCATTCTCATAATTACAGACACTGATACTGTAGTTAGCAATTGTATTACAAAAGCACACATTACAGTGTAGTCTGCTTGCTTTGCTGCTGCTGCTTGCATAGCTCTTACTTATTTTGCCGGTAAAGAGTTGCACGCTCCATAAATGACATTTTGTGGATTCTGTTTTTGTAAGTAATGCAAACACTTCCGAGGATGTTTGAGAAAATTAAATTTTCATGAATAAATGCACTATATACATCGAGTATATAACCAGACATAGAGACGAAATAATTCCTGGTACCTCATCAGGTAATGGGCCTTATATCAACTCTTGTTTGTGCTGAAATCACTTCATTAGAAAACTGAAATAGTACAGTGCCAACAACTGACCTGTTTGTACGTCTCAGTATATTCCAAAAATATTCTGTATTTATTATATTAAAGATAATATTTCGAATAATGAGGGCTGTTATATTCGGTGGTGTGGGAAAAACAGCAAAACATCTAATTACAAAACAAACGGAACCACATTACATCTGTAATTAAATATGTATATTTGCAATTTTCGTCCATTATAGCAAAGCTCAAGTTAAACTGGCCAATTTGAAGTTAAACCATTGACGACACCCGTCAATTGTTTCGAATTCTAGCTGGCCTATCGGAGCGCAGTTGTCACAGTAATGTTTGGCATAACAGTTTTCAAACAAATAAATGACATTTCGTCTCTATTTCTGGTTACATATTCGATGACTGTGTACAAGTGTAAGAATGTTAATTTTCTTATACTTGACTCTCAAAGACACTTTGTGTACCTTATTGAAATTAATGCAAATTTGTAAAGTTCTCTATGAAACGAATATTCTTTTGTCAATTAGATTACTTAACATATACTTGCAAGTTCGTAAATACATGAAAATGTTACTAAAGGCTTATTATACAGTGTAGTTATTTCGTACTAATTTGCAATTTGTTGCCTTCAAAATCACTTGCGCTATTCGTAAGTTAGGGACGCAGACATTGTTTCCTTTTTGTGATGTCAAGTAACGGGACGAAATCATCTTCAAATTCATTGTCCTGTTCATATTTATCCAGTCATTGCAATTATCTTTGAAGTCTTCGTATTGATGGCTTATACACTTTATTAGGCTTTATGAGAGAGTTCGTCAAGGGAAGTACTGCCACCTTACCTATTTCTGCGACCAAGCAGTAATGTGAACATTATTGCGGTCCGGTTTTGAAGGGTGATGGTGAAATTACAAGCACATGGAACGTGTCAACTTATGTCTCAGGCTGACGGGCAGTGTCAACATTTTTGCGATCTAAACATTGACTTGCAATTATATGGACGTCGGGTCCGCGCTAAAAAGTGTCCGCACTTGTAAGGCGCTAAAATCGTATACAGAGCGCCAAACTCCGCTTTAGTCTTCATTTGTTCTACTGACAGCGCGATACTGCGATGACATTACAATTTAAATTTCGAAAAGGTTGACTTGGGACATTTTATTCGTGGTTTTTGTATTAGACCCGTCGTCCATTTATTTGTAAGTCAATGGATCTAAAGCTCTGGCTGCAATTGCTATGGACATGTATGTCACTTACCACCAGGCGCACGACTTGTTCGTCCTGTCACTTTGTATTTCATGGACATCTTTAATTGTAAGATCCAATGTTTATTGGAAAGATTTCCCTCGTTATCGTTGATCTAATAATATGGACACCGTTACATGTATGCAGATCTTACAGCCTACCACTTTCTACGATCCTGACACACATCTTTCGTCTCATCAAAACAATATATCAATGTTTGTTTTTTTGATACCAAATGGCAGGACGAACATGTCGTGCGCCAGTAGTTAAGCGGCACGCCTGTCCAAAGCTGTTGCAGTGCCACTCAGAGCTTTAAACTGCAAAGATCTGAAAGACACTGCCACGCGACTGTCACAAGTCCCATGTACCTGTAATTCCACCAGCAGCTATACCCTTTACAATAGAAACACAGTAATGTTCACATTACGGCTTGGCGGCAGTACTTCCCTGGACGATTTCTTTCACAAGGAGCTCTCTTGCTACTAAAAATGCTTTCATACATGCTCGTCGTTTATGACACCGCGCAAACATTTGTCTTGTGTTGGATACAAGCAAACCGCAACTAGAAGCAAATATATAAATCGACACACTCGCCGGATGCAACAACTGGACACAGTCGCCGGTTGCCACAATCGCAATTGCGTGGAATTATAATATTTGCCTCTGGTTGCCGGTTGCTTCTATCCAACATAAGACACACGTTTACACAGCGCCTAAAGGTGCTCTTGACTTGGCTCTTCTTTAGGACTTACTAAAATTTGGTCCTGATTAGTTGGTATACATTAATTTAATTAAAAATAACTACAAATTATGGTTGGATTAACGAAATTTCGACTACATACTTGCCTTTGTTAAATATGGAAGATATTAAATCCATTAAGCGCACTTAACTGAAAGATAAGCCGAAACAAGAAAAACGAAACTTCACATTGGTTGAGTTCACATTTTAAAATATTACAAACTTGCGTCTACGCACCATGACAAACATTTGCGTACTAACATATAAGTATAAAAAGAAAACTCTACACCGCTACCAATTTACATATGCATGCCAAAAAATAAATTTTTAGCCTTGCGTCTCATGTATTTTTGACGACCTCGGTAGGACCAATTTGGGAAATGAGTTTTCCTAAATTGGTTCCGGTCTGGTACAGGTCATAGTACAGGGAATTCACTAGTTTGAGACCAGGTATGTGGTGTGGTGATGACTGTCTCGCACTTTATTATTATTATTAGGGTTCGAATAAAGGGTTTGTTCGGGTCTTGAATATCCAAAATGTTCATATTTTTCTATGGGATATTCGTGGATATCGTATAGAAAAGCGGTACGTAAGTCATCAAGGTCGTGATGATGCGACCTCCTTCCATCGTCACCCCACCTTTTTATCACCGTTTCTCTGATTCCTTTATCAGAATCATTCTTTAATTCCTTTGCCTCGTCATGCTCATTTTGTTTAGTTCCGTCATCACTCTCTGCTCAATCGCTGAAGCGAGCAGTGCTACTCGTCTAATTTAGATCCTTTTACTAGTTCCCAACCTAAATCATGAGCCAATTTTAATACCAATGTAACCTAGTAATATTGTATAACACGGCCCTTTCGGGGTAATTCTGTCTCACGTTTTTAGTACTTTTGTAGGAAGTGTTTGTTAGTGAGACGGCACATGTTGTGTGGGTCATGGTTTCCTTGACAGCACAGCACACACGCTTTGTTTTTTATATATGTATGAATTTAGTTCCAAATCCTTGTTGTTATTATTATTTTCATCATTATCTGTATTATTATTATTACAAAATGCATGTGTACTGTGTTCATTATTCAAGGAATAAGTGATTTCTTTCTTTCTTTGTTTTGTAGCATTGTACCTGTTTTTTTATATCCTTTTCTTGTTACAGCCTTCCTTTTTTCTTTCGACTTACTTATGGAATAAATTATGTCGACCGGAGTGTTCTATTTTATTACTTATATTATACATTAGCGGTTTACATCCGAAATTGCATTCCGCAGTAATCCAAATCTTTTTGGTGTTAGGTCAAGTGGTTTAAGAGGAACATATTTCACTTTGAGTCAAATGTTTTGAGTTCTACGAAGAACAGGTAAAGTCTTATAAGAATTTTGAAAGTACACTAATTTTATATCAAGTGACGGGACGAACAAGTCGTGCGCCTGATGGTAAGCTACACGCTTGTCCGTAACAATTGCAGTGCCACTCAGAGCTTTAAATCGCAAAGATCTGAGGGGCACTGCCTCTGCGCCCATCACTCTCTTACATAAGTTGATAATCCCATGTGCAATTACTTACTTTGGGATCAGAGTACGCGATGTTATCTTACATTTATTATATGTACATTATACATATTAAAAAAAGCCCGATTTTGTTGGATTCTATGAGAAAACAATAAAATATGAAACCGACAACTACAACTCTACCGATAACTGCAAATGTAATCTTGTAAACCTATCGCGCTCAGGGTTAAATGATTCACAAGTTGTTTAACGCCGTAATTTATGACGCAGTACATCTATAATAATTTGATTGATCTTGGGTGACAATTTTTACGTGAAAAATTTGAAAAACTTAAAAGTGTGTGAAATAGGGGTTGAAAGTTTGAATGGAAAACCAATCACTTCTCGAGCATGAATCTGAAAATTCATATTTATGCCTTGTGTAATGAAAATTAGTATAAGTTGTGTACAGTAGGCTAATTTCTACTACTACACTAAGCTCGAAATACTTATTCTATGCACACGACGACGTCGCGGGCTCCAGCTAGTTTGTTATAAATAGGTTTATGATGTGCAGTTTGTTGAATGGACATTCAAGAGAGCGAAAGAATCGCCAGAATTGACTTTAACGTTTTTCATAGGATATAAGATCGTTTACAATGTACTTATACATAATAAACACATTTTAGTAGCCAATCTTCTGCTACAAAATGTTTTTAGTAGCAGTAGAGCTCCTTGTGAAAGAGTTGGTCCAGGGTAGTACTGCCGCCTTATTTATTGCTGCCGCCAAGCAGTAATTTCAGCAATCAGCATTACTTTTACTGTGTTCCGGTTTTGAAGGGTAAGGGTGTTGGTGAAATTACAGGCAAATGGGGCTTGTCAACTTATATCTCAGGGTGACGGGCGCAGTGAAAAAAATAACTGAAATAAAATCATACCTTTATTTAAGGCCATTTCCAAGCTAGAGTTCACTTTAAACCACAATTATCATTCGCACATTTCGGTTCTTATTGAAACACGATATAAAGACATTTTATTTAATGGTTTACAAATACCTCAATTAGAACCACACAGGTCAAAAATAAATTTATATATGATTAATAGATGCCAAAAGATATTATTGGCGGTGTATCAGATTATCAGTTCTTAGTAATGTTGTAGAGAATGTAGAGTTTGGAACTTGTAGTAAGGCTCTTGTAATAAATATGTTGTATGTCGTAGTAGTTTGACGGTCGCGTGGCTTGCACACCGGTTGTCATGGTGTCGCCATCTCTGAGGTCTTGGGTTCGAACTCCGGCCAGGTCAATGTAGAAGAACTGACTTTTCTATATTGTCTCAGGTCCGAGTGTTTGGGGTAACGTCGTTGATTCCTATTGCCATAACACAAGTGCTTTAGTTACTTATTATATCTTATCTAACATATGATATATATTATGGACTGCCTAATTGTGGTGGCTAGTTAAAGTTCATGATTGTGGTGGAAATTCTCTGATTGTAATAAATGGTATCCATGGCGATATTCGAATTTCGCTAGACGTTAAAAAATTTTTTTTATGAGACCAAGTGACAGACGGGATAAAAAAGTCGCGTACTGATGGTAAGTGACACTCCTGTCCATAACAGTTGCAGTACCACTCAGTGCTTTAAATCACAAAGACCCGAGGAGTACTGCCACTGCGCCCATAACAGGTAAGGCGGCAGTGCTTCCCTGGACAAACTCTTTCACATGGAGCCTTACTGCAGTTAAAAATATTCTCACGGCTGATATTTTTTTTTTCGCCAAGAGGAACAATCAAGGCTTATAAAACATTCACTCTATATTTCTGCCGTCAAGCAGTAATATAATCGTTCATTCCTTCCTCGAACCTGCAAGATGTGGAATGATCTTCCTCCTAAAGTATTTCCTTTGCGCTATGAGATGGGGTTCTTCAAAAAGCGTGTTTACAGGGTCTCAACGACTGACAATGCATAGGCAGCTCATCTGATGTTGCACATGTCCATGGGCGACGATAACCACCTCCCATCAAGTGGTTCGTCTGCTAGTTTGTAATTTACATTAAAAAAATGCCACTGTATTGCAATAGTACCACAGTCCATAGACCTGAACCACTTGTTCAACCGTCTAGTTGCTATCCGCTCTGTCATACCAGTAAAGAATGATAAAATGTAAAAAATCCATAAACGCATTTGAACTACAATTTGTCAATAAAAATAATTTTAGTTTCCACTGCCGCTTCGGTAAGTACTCTACAGATATGCACGCACTATACGCAACGCGGATCGAAAGACGGTTGGAACAGTGCACCAGGATTCGTTTCGTCCACCAGGATTTCCTAGCCCAACCCCCCAGGGGATCCTTGTGAACTCAGTAGTTCATCAGAATCCCCCGAACGCGGATACATAACGTTAAGCCCCATTCAGACTATGGTACTTTGGGGAAATAAACAAAACTCATTATATTGCTCATAAAGACCGTGACCTTGCTAACTTGAAAGTGATGGAGAATACGATTGCAAATAAAAAATAACAACAGTTTGATAAAATAACTTTTCCGTTTAATACATGTAAAATAAAAGAAAAAGAATCCGAAAATCCGATCACCCGATCGGTACAATAAGTAATTATTTATTGTCGCAATGTTAATAATAATAATAATAATAACGCACACACTCAATATAGCCCCGCACTAGGGAAACCCTGTGTCGCGGGTGCCATGGACACACACATAGACAACCACAAATTACACCCAAACTCACGAGAGAAATAAATGTAGGTCATACAAATATTTCGCCCGGCCCGGGAATCGAACCTGGGGCCTGTGCGTGGCAGTCCGGCATGGTAACCGTTCGGCTACGGAGGCAGCTATGTGATTGCAACTTTGCATACATTTAACTTAGGGGATTCTCATGAACTGCTGAGTTCACAAAGATCCCTAGGGGAATTGGGCTAGGGGATCCTGGTGGACTCAACGGCAATTTTTATGGATAGGCTTATCCTTACCAGTTTCCTTTTCCGTTAGAGGTTCGTCCGAAACAATTATTGTCACTTAAGTAATACTCAACCAAATCAAGATACAATTTCAAGTAGGAAGCTTCATTCGCATTATGCGTATTTTAATTTGGTTGAATACACTGTTCACCTTAGTAGTGAAGACCGCTAGCGCAGGAACCAACGGAATAAGTGAGTGACATTTTAAAATTTACTGTATGGAACAAAAACTCAGTAAAATAGTAAGTTCTAATTGTAAGAACATAAAGCGTAGCGCCGAATGTGTGAGATCTTTGTGCAAGGATGCCAATGTAATGGCGTTACAGGAGCATTGGTTGCTGCCGCAGGATCTACCATTTCTTAGTGAAATTGACAGAGATTTCAGCTATACTGGAAAGTCCGGGATGGAGCCAGCAGCTGGCATAATACAAGGTCGTCTGTATGGTGGCGTGGCTTTATTGTGGCGAAAATGTGCGTTTCAACATGTGTTAGTTGTTTCGTGTAATAGTAAACGTACTGTTGTAAAGCAACTACAAGTGATCTTTGCGACATTGTGTTCGTGTGTCTTTATATGCCAGTTAATAAGGCCGTGAATTTGCCTGTGTTTACGGAATGGGTAGCAAATATAGTAGCTATAACAGAGGTATGTAACACAGACTGTGTATATATACTCGTATTAGGCGAATTTAATACTCACACAGAGACACTATTTGTTAGGGAATTTATGTTTTGGGGTGTGCGGGTTTGTGCGGACAAGGAAAAGCTAAATGGTGTACTGAACATGCACACACATTTGTCTGTCAGGCCACAGGTAGCAGGAGGTGGTTGGATCACTGTCTCACTAGTCAAGCTAAGCAGCTTCACTGAGTTGCATGTTCTACGTGTGAGCCAGTGAACCATCTGGGTGGCTGGGTCCGTCCTGTTTGTTATATTTGTAACGAATTATTAGTATTATTAGGTATTATTTTTGTGATTGAGTACTAATCCTAATACTAACATAGTTGTATGGTGTCATGTTACTAATTTACTAACTTGTATGGACGACATTGTCTGAAATAAACGATTTTTATTTATTTATGTTTTTGTTTTTTTTTATTTTTATTTTATTTACTGTAATTGTTGCAGACGGAGAAAGGGAGTATACCCCCCGCCTCACGACTTGTTCCTACAGTCATTTGATATAATAAAAAAAGTGGTGATAAGTAGATAATTTCTAATTGGAGTGTCCTTTCTTCAAGTCTGTTATTAGGTTGTTGAAGATTGCACCACATTTGTAGGGAGTCATTTGTCCTCGTCTACTATATTCATCGTTCTATATTAAGACTAATGTTATCAGTAGATAACGCTACACAAACATACTTTGAGGTAGATTCCCACTTAACTACGTATGTAGTTATAAACAGAAACGTATCAGTCCGTGTCCTTGAAGATTAGTAAGTTGTCAGTGTGTCACTGGGTGGCGTGAAAGAGATAGCGTTATAAATTCGGCACTACTTTAATGGTTGTTCTTTGATTTGTTTAATTGGTTCTCAAATATTTTTTAAAACAATCATCACATTAATTTTGTCAACACAAGAAACCTATAATAGTATTTTATGCAATCGTTGCCTAAGTAATAAGTACGAGATTTCAAGACCTAATTATGTAATGCTTATATATAATAGTTTTTTTACTAGTAAATAATACAACCAATATTTAACGTATATTTTATTAATAATCTACAAACAAAAACCAAAGAGATGAGAGCTACGGAATAATGATCCTTATTTCTAAGACTATAACTATGTACAATTGATTATCGAAGAACAACAATCAGATCTTCTTTTATCGTGATCGTACTTATGCAGCATATACAAATGTTTGAAACACCTATAAAGATCAATTTTATAATAGTAAAATATAAGTGTATACACAATTCCACTAGTTATTTGATTACAAATAGAACTATTTTACTCAAAATTATTAGCAAGCGTTTCTATTACTGTTTCATAAATCTTGTTTTTCACTCCTGCACTTTATAAACTGGCGGTTATAATTTCATAAACCATATCACAAAGGCGCTCGTTTTAGTTCTGAATCAAAATTCTATTGTCTATGATACTTGCTTCTTACAGAACTATAAAACATGATCTTTGAGAAAATTCTTCTTGATCAGCTGAGTGGACATTCTGGGAAATATCGCCTCCTCCATAAAGAACAGTATGGTTTTACTAAGGGCCGATCTACCATAGATGCCACGTATTGCGTTGTAAAAACGTCTATGAGGTTTGAGAGGGGTCGCATAGTGCCAATGGCGTTTTTTGCGACCTATCTAAAACTTTTGACTGTTGAGTTGAGACTATTTTTATTGTTAATGACTCTTTTGTTGAAGCTCAAACACTATGGGATGATTTGCTTTGAAATTAATTCGATATTATCTCGGTTCCAGAATTCAAAGAGTTAGGTCCTAACCTTACCATTTCCAAGTCACCTTTAAGCTCCTTAGCACACTTTTCACCTGATATAACTTTAAGATAGAGGTCTAATAGAACCATACGTATGCAGTGTCAGTGAAAGGTGAGTTAACGGCGAAGACTTTATAAAAAAAAAAAGATATAAGTATAGGACATCATTGCTCAGTCAATCTGAAATAAGTGATAAACCCTGTTCAGTTGTATGTCCCCACCGTCTCAGGAGTGCAGTGTTATTCGCGTAGTACAATATTTGCCCAGGGATGGATAATTTGGAGTATCATTCACGTAGATAGTAAACAAAGTGAGTCTGGGAACGCTGTTTTGTGGAACTCCGAACTAGTGATAATGGGTCGGATGTAGGTCACAAAAAGGATGTAGTGATCTAGCTTCAAAGTAAAAACATCAATAAAGAGTTCGTTGCACTGCACTCAATTCAATCTAAATATAACAATAAATAATGATTGGGAATTTTTGTTTTTGATTGGGGAATTTCTCGTTCGAATATAATCGCAGTGAGTGTCGCCAATATTATTATTAACAAAAGAGGTAGTTTAGTGCCCAAAAAAAAATTAATATGGGATATATTAATTGTCATATTTATATTTTCAGAGTTTCAAAAAAAAAACCATACTCAAAAATAAAAAAATACAACACTAGTTGAATGTAGTGGTAATAAAGTAACTAAGTAATACAATTTCTTTACTATTAGTTCTTCTATTTTTTTCACGGTAATTATATGGTTTTCATTAAAATCTAGTGCTCTTAAAGAATATTTGGAAACCTAAAGCATTATCCATTTATTTGTTCTCTATTAAGGCCTTATTGAAAATCTCATCTTGCAGCCTCGAAGGCAGTAGCTTATTTTGCTTGCACCCAGGTTTTCCAGGGTACAGATTAAAATTCCTAACCACATTACTTTTATTCTTAATACTACGATTCACTTCCCTTGGTAATATAGTAGATAATACTTTGTTATGGACTAAAGTGTTTAAAGTGCATAAAAATTCAACTTGTTTAGCCAATCGTCTGATATTACCATGAACTTCCATATCCTTATTATTATCATCACCAACACGAACCGTTAAATTCAATAAAACAATAGGAACAACGATCACAAATATCAGAAATATAACTGTCACTATTATTAAGGAAGCAGTGGAGTCATTGAAATAACCATTGAAGAATATATCCTTGTAGTCAAACTCCGAAGTCATTATGTCCATGGTCTTGACGAAAACTTCCCAGGGATTTTCAGAAGGGGTTTTAGATTTAAATTGTATTATACAGAGGGAAAAAGCGATGAGCAAGAAAACGAATATTGCGAGAATCTGAAACACAAAATCGAATTATACAACATAGGCCTTGGTCACTTTAAATTATTGACACCTTAATACTTTTACATGTGGGCAAATATGAAAATAATACAGTGACACTAGGGAATTCGCTACAATGACTATGATTTTCAGGTTAAGCAGCAAAAGTGCTGCCCATTTTTTACATTTGTCTCTTCGTCGCTTTTTACACTTATGGGAAGATATCAAATGGTTTGTTCTTACGGGAAGTCATTTAATTCCGTAAGCTAGAAGTATATATGTACATATTGACAAAATTTTAGGTTTTCTATTCACATTTGATTATATAATTTACCTTCAAAACATTAGAAGCGAACTTCCCAAACATATTCCAAATATAATATCCCCAATTTGGGAACCTAGACAAGAAGAACATCAATTCCATCCAGGATAATAGCAAAGCCAATGATGTTATATGCTGAGTCCAATTCCCCTCGGAGTTTATGATGACTGCAAATGGAAAGATGGCGGCTAGGATGAAGTGCCGACTGCCTTTTATGTTCATGTAGAGGAGTTGCTGGAGATATAAAAGTCAAATTATGTTAAGGTATTGTAATTCACATGTAAAGACGAACCAAGCTTTCGAGGAACTAAGACGAAGAATTTTCACACAACTCTCTAAAGAATCAAAAGAAGTTTCTAACCCGAGCGTAGAAAACAGTGGAAGAGGCCTGCATCTATCTAGTAATGAGATCTTACTGGGATGTGGCAGCTAGATATATAGATTACGTACATAAATGTGTACTTTTCCAATCGGAATAGGCAGGACCACTGTTTTCTCATATAAATTTCATCATTCCATCAGGTGTGGTCAAAAATTAAATAATACACATAAGCAGTTCGGGGACCTATAAAACCTTTTTTTCTGTTGTAAACGTCATTCGTATTGGCACCTAGCAATAGTAGAACAACTTATGCGGCTACTGCTTCATTAGCTTAACATATAATGGCTGAAAGAACTTACCTGTAATAGCAACAAGGCTATCGTAACATAGACAATATACATCCAAATATGAGGACTCAACCACGTTGGTGGTTCATCATCCGTGTCTTTATAGAAAAACACCGACACACTGAAAACGGTCAATGACATTACGAATAACACATGCATTGCTAGTATTATATTGAATAAAGGTAGCAACGCTTTCCATTTTAAGTAAAGGAAACTCTCGACCAATGGATGTACTAGCAATCTATTTTGTCCATATTTATTCCCTGTTTTCATCAATGCTTGAATTACTTTCATCTGATTATTTTCACATGCACTAGGCAATAGTATGCTATAGTCAACGGTTATTTTACAATTCGGATCTTTCACGTTCAAATCATTCCTCGAAATGTAAGAATCAAAGACTTCTTCCATAAAATCTATTGGTTTCGATAAGTTATTTACTATTATACCTATTGCTGTTTTTCGTAATTCCTTAGAATCAGTAGTATAGCCTGATAAATCTGCTCCTTCTCTTAAAAGTAAGGTTATGACATCTCTATTACTATGATGTGCAGCTGAATGCAGTGGAGTCCAACCCATACTATTGACCACATGTATTGTTGTTTTGTCCTTCTCCAGCAAAATCCTTGCAATATCGACATAGTTATTGACTGCTGCAATGTGTAATGGAGTTGAGTACTTGTCTGGATTGCATGTAGTCTTTAATTTTATGTCAGCTCCATAAAACAATAGTAATTTCACGCAATCGGCATGATTGTTTGATACAGCGAAATGTATAAGGCCAAAACCATCAGCGATTATATTTTTATTATATAACGTAACTAAAACGGAAGGTATATATGAAAGTAAATATTTTAGTATTTCTGTATGACCATTTTCAGCGGCTACGCATAAAACTTTTATATTTCTGCATAGAGCAATTTTCATTTTATCTCCTTTAACAAGTAACGCTTTAACGCAATCCAAATGTCCATGATAAATGGCTTTAAACAGAGGTGTTTCGCCTTTACCGTTTTGGCAGTCAATTAAATTTGTTTGTTTTGCTGAAATGAGAATTTTGTCCAAGATATCAATATTGCCTAGTGCTGCAGCCGTATGTACCGGTGTTTCTCCATTATTTGCCTGGAAGATAAGTTATATTACGATTAGTTAGACGATTACGAAGGCAATTGATAGTAAATCTGCAATATACAGAGTGTTTTTATAAATGATACAGTATGGGGAAATCCGAAACCATAGAAGATACAAGGAAACTGTTAGGAACTATTAAGTATTTTTTTGAGAAAACAATTTTGGCATAGTCAATTTTTTGGTCAAGCGTGAGTTGTCCATAAAAATGAATAAAATTTATCAAATTTTTTTTAGTCCTTATCGATTTTGTTTCGTAAAGAGATCATTTCATTGTATGGGACGAAAAAATCTGGACAGCAGAAGTTGGTCAAATTCTGTAAAACATTTTTTCGTACAAAATTAATAAAATTTACTAATTTTTTTGTAATGCTAATAAACTCAGTTCTTCTTATCCGTAACTGTGACTCATATTTAAAGATAATTATATTTACTTTTAAAGTAACATCAGCGCCAGCTTCCAAAGCAATGCAGACACCTGGCATCCACGCCTCGGCGACTGCAACATGCAGCATTGTGTGGCCGCCACAGTCCTTCACGTTTACTGTTGCTGACAAAGGATCATCGTCGTTGGTTCTGTGGTTCACCAGAATCTACAGGTTTTCAACTTTGTTTTAAAAGTTGCTCTAACGTTTTGTTCTTTCATAGATAGAAAACAAAAGTTATTGAGACAACTTGGAAGAAATACAAAATTTCTTAGAGTTACTTAGTTACCTTTAAAGGTTCTTCCAATTTATTCAACACACAGACATGTAGTGGGGTTTGACCAGCTTTGTTCAAACAAACGACTGAAGCTCCAGAGTTCAGCAGTGCTTTTATCGTATCCACAGCTTTCAATTCCACTGCCATGTGGAGAGGAGTGTCAACGTAGTTTATGCCTTCAGCTTTCATTGTATTAAATTGCCCACCAGCTTCAAGCAACGTTTTTATGATTCCTGTGAAACTGAGAAGAGATTCTTGTGTACAGTTTTGCCGATCTCGATGGGCACTAGATCTGGGAGTTCCAGTTGTGACATGAGCTTTCCTACATTGGTCCTGGCGTGGGTACTGAATATAAAATGCTAGTTTTAGGTATTGTATAAATTGGAATGGCACTAATCTGTATGTTTACTTTACAGTTTAAGATTAACTGCAATCGTCAACATCTGAAATTCTACTACGATTTCAGGTAAACTAACCGATGATAACTATTTGTCAGTATCAAAAAAGCATTAATCCTTTAAGAAGGATATGATAAGAATAAGTCTGTCTTTTTAAATCTGTTCTGTATAATCTTTTTTGTTTTACGTTATACTACAAAAACAAACTAAACTGGTTGGCTGGTTAACCAGATTTCGAATTACTAAAGGTGTACCTCAAGGATCTGTACTGGGTCCTTTTTTTAAACGACTATATTTATTACCCAATTATAACAGGTATGTAATAAATATACTAAAACTTTTCTTTTAGCCTTGTGATAATATTGAGTAATTGTGAAGTAATAATAATAATAATAATACAATAACGCACACACTCAACATAGCCCCGCACTAGGGAATCCCTGTGTCGCGGGTGCCATGGACACACACATAGACAATCACAAATTACACCCAAACTCACGAGAGAAATAACTGTAAGCCATACAATATTTCTCCCGGCCCGGGAATCGAACCTGGGACCTCTGCTTGGCAGTCCGGCATGGTAACCGTTCGGCCACGGAGGCAGTTTAAAGTAAAGTCAATTTAGCATTTTTCCTACTTACTTCTCCACATTAATGTCTTCAGAGTCGATATTAGCGCAGCAAACGACGTCCAATGGAGTGTAACCATGTTTGTCGACGACGTTCGGGTCTGCTCCAACAGCCAGTAGCAGTCTAGCAATGTCGAGTTGAGCGTGTGCGCTTGCTACGTGGAGTGGCGTCCAGCCTGGTTTTACAACAGGAAACTAGAAAATATAAACCATTTTTCAATTTGAAGTTGACAGGAATGACCTAATAGAGTATCTTTAGTGCCAAATCATAGTAACAATTATCTGATTTCCAACTTCAGTTTTAAAACCATTGAATTACTTAAAATAATTCTAGTGCCAGTTAGTTAAAACACTCAAACCCCTAAAGTTTCTTGCTCATTCTACTCAGGGGTATCTGGCTTACGAATGAGCAGTAGAGTTTTTTTTTTTTTTTTTTTTTTTTTTTATGACATTAAGTAACGGGACGAACAAGAGTTTAATCAGTATGACGATTTGAAGTATAATTAGCTTACCTATGAAATGATTATTGAAGATTATTTGACTTTGTACGCGATACCTGGTATCGCTAATAGATTTTATCCGAAAAGCACTTAGCTTCTAAATCGGTGTGTTAAAAAGTATTTTTAACTCATATAGATAAAATCAGACATAAATAAACATTAATATTTTACTATAGAAAAGTTTGAAAACTGGTGTTGGGGTCGGTAAAAATCAATCTTACGTAAGCAGTAACGGAACATCTCAATATATTGTCGTTCCAGTCCAATGACAGCCCAGTATATTCGTCTTCTATCGTGCAGCGAATATTCGCCAGATCTTTGGTCTTGGGGCAGAGATTTTTCATTACTTCATCAACTTTTGATAATACGTTATCGTTTTCCATGTAACTTGGCATGTCTGAAATCGAGAGAATTGTTCGAAGTTACTCATGGTACGCAAAAATGATTTGTTACTGGAATCGATGATGGACACCATGAGAATATGGCGATTGGCAGTACGATCCCAGACTTTTAACAGAATTTCCTATCTTTCCTTGATAAAAGATGTCACAGGACAATGCCAGAGGTTTCTCAGTAGTTCCTTAGCATTAAAATCTACCCGCATGTTAACTAATTATGTGAGCATTACTGCGATCAATGAAGGCTAAGGGTGCCGGTGAAACTACAAGCACATGGAACTTGTTAACTTTATGTTTTAGGGCGACAGGTGCAGCGGCAGTGCCCCTCAGATTATGTGATTTACAGCGCTGAGTAGCACCAAACGCATGACTAGTTCGTCAGGTTACAGAGTATATAAAAACGTGTGATATTATGGAAGGAATTAATCGGATGGAGTATTTTGCAACGATCTCTTTAAGACGATTCGCGCAAAAATCAGCAAATGCTGTGTGCAAGGTTTTTCTTTATCGTAAGAAATTTATTCTCCAACTTCGTTACCTATTATTTAGAGTTGTATATAGTTGAACAGTAAATTTGACCTTATTATGTGACGTGTTTTTTGTACGCGTGATTATAAATGGCAATGCTAACCTAACCAGGGGGTCGATTCAGAACCTTACGGTAAACCGATTTCTTTTCATTGTTATTAACTACACCTGGAATCGAACGTCAAACTGTCGTATTCGAAACCGAACCGAAATAACGTCACACCCGTACGGTTACTCGAACTTCTCGACTGGCGAAGGGTACAAACGTTATTCAGAACACAGTTACCGAATGAAAGTTACCGAACGTCCTATTGTTTACAAGCCAAGAATGTACTATGGAAATCTCCAATTATTTTTTTTAATTAAAATCTGGATTTTGTTCAATTTTATTAATTTATTTTAATGCAATTTAATGCATTCCTACATTTTAGGTCTTTAAAGTATTAAAAATGTATATGTAAGGATTTTCATTTTTCTTGTTTAATCTATTTCACCGACTAGTTCCGTAAACGCTGTTGGATAACAATGTCGTCTTTGAAACCGAATCGAATGTTTAACTCGAATGTTCTAAATAGCGCCGGATATTCAATCGAACGGTTAAAATACCGAAGAGTTCTGAATCGGGGTCCAGGTGGGTTTCTGCACAAAGATATCCAACTGAAGCCTGTGCTGGAAGCGCTAGAACACCACCAAGATTTTTGTTACCTGCAATCTTTACTGGATAGTCGGTCAAGAAATTAATTAATACAATAAACTTTTTGTCGTTGCATTAATGTGTCTTACCTTCCGTAAAATACAGGTTCAAATTCATGTGCCCAGCATTGTTGACATAACTTCCCATGTTTGAAACATTAATTCCTAGTTCGTCGAGCTGCTGTTTCTCAGCTCCGTCGTTAATGAAACGAGTAACCACTTCTCTTTCTGACAGAGCTGGGTAATGGCGAACCCGGTCAAGCGTTACGCAGTGGGTTGCGTTAGGGTTGGCACCAATTCTGAGGAGTCTAGAAAACAAATAATCAATAGTTACTGGGCGCCAAGTAGGACCATGGCAGTGTAAGTGAGCGATGTACAGATGATTGCTTTTCAAGACATCTGTGAGAAGATATTTAGTAGTAGTATTTAAAACCTAGAACCAAACGGCAATTACCTTTTAGTCTCCTCAATATCGCAACTCGCTATAGCTTCCAACAGTTCAGTATTCAATCTTCTAAGTCTCCGGTCAGTTCGCAGCCATTTTCTAGGCCAGGTATCAGGCACTCCTGTGACGGGGGTATTGGTAGAGGGGGTGTTTACTGTCCCCGTGTTCGCTACGAAAGGGTTTTTTGAGGGAGTGTAGAGTTGCAATGCTGGATTTCTGTTAAAAAATTTGAAGCTTACGTATTTTATACAGTAGGGTAGCCTGGTTTAAGATGACGCACTTAAGGTTTGAGACCGTGTAGAATGAAAACAAAAAGTGTTAGAAAATCAACTATTGTTTTATTTTATAGTCTACTTATCCGACTCTTACATACTAATGTGAAAAGTAGTTATATTTAATAGTGTGGTTGTAATTGATAAAATTAGTGGGAAATGGGATTTGCGTACTTTTACACTGTACTTTGGTTAAGAGTACGCATGTACGTCGGCAAGAGTACGCAACAAGTTTTTTTTTGATAGGACTTCGTTTATCGGTTGCACGAATCACCTCCAAACCTTTCTGGTAATGTGATTTTTAGTCTCGGTATGCATGCTCATGGAGAGCTGAGAAGAGTCTACTTGTGGCACGGACATATCTCAGTTAGGGTGGTGCTTCAGGCGCACTTGCTGCCGATATTTCTGACATATTCGGAGCACATGCCTCAGGTCTGTTAAACCTTCAAAAATACTAGACTCTCACAAAGTGTTTCAGTTGGAACGAGCCATAGCGACAGAAATTTTATTCACAAGTAGTCTTTTCTAAAAAAAAATATGGCATGAGACTACGCGCGTACTCTTGCAATACGTCGAGTTGCGTACTCTTGCACACTTCAGCCATTCCAGAATAAAACTGCTACTAACCCCATATGTTGCAAGTGACCAGAATCGTTTGCAATTTGATCTTTAGACGAGTTTTTGGGCGATTTCATACAAAGTCAGTGTAAAAAAGTATGCTTAGTTTAGTCTCAGTAACAATTTGAAAATACCAAAAAGTTTTATGCAAATACATCAAAATGTTCAGACAGGTAGTTTCTTGGTTTTCAATAACTTTTGATAATTTTTCCGCACAACAATCACTTCCTAGCACTACAAAATGACACTGAACTTAGTTGCTCAATGTAAATAACTTCTCGGCAATCTACATTGCGTACTCTTATCGGATGCGTCATCTTAGACCAGGCTACCCTACATACATGCATGAATTTAACTTACTTTAATTTAATACGACACATATAAGATAAATTTAAAAGGTCTTTAGTTTTAAGGGGTAAGAGCTGCTTCAATTGCAGAAGCCTTCTAAAGAACCCTGGTCGTCTGGCACAGGTGTTAACCTCAGGCTGGTTTTCTTTTAACACTGACAGTCCGCGCGTAGCTAATCATCGCCGACCAGTCATCTGCAGTCGTTTTAGTGTCGTGCTGGTCACAGCGAAGTACGGACAAATAATGCTTAGCATTATATTAGTGAAAGTTATTCACCAATATAACACTCGTCACACATTGACACTGACACTCGTCAGCGCTGACCGGTCACCGTTATTCTGAAATGCTAACGGCTAGCGTGAGAAGGAAACTAGCCTTAGCCTTCGTTCACACGGCATTGTCCTCCACGTGTTCGATTATAAACGGTTAAATTTTATAATTTTATGCGTTTAAAAGACGGATACCCGCAGTGTTCACACAGCAATCGCCCTGAGCACACGTTTGTAATGGATGCACTTTTATATTGGCATTGAAGACGCCAACGGCTTTGCTGCCGGAAGAATAGAAGGCATTGGGTTCATCCAATGAATCAAGAAGCAGTGTGTACAAACACATTTAAAAATTGTACGAAAATTTGAGAAATGATGAAAAAACAAACGGACCTTTGTTCCACTAGAGATATCAATAAATTATTTTGTATTAATAAAATTATGCGTGCCCTCCTTCCTAAAGATACTTCAAGACTAGACGCCGCCGAGGCTTGACGTCGGTGACTATTCGATACAAAAACGTATGACTTCGCGTCTCACGTGTGAAACAATACGTTATAGTTGCACTTCTAAGTGACAAGTCCTTTGCGTTTTCGATAAACTTATAGAGAGCTGCGTGCGTGTTTTTGCAGGACAAACACCATGTGAATGGTTCTATACTTAATGTATGCGCCACTGTTTATTCGGTAAGATTTATACTGCAAAAAAACATGCCGTGTAATGCCTTGTGAACGAAGGGTTAGGTTATCGGTCACTTTTTCTATATCTATGGTCACTACAATGACTATTTTATTTTTTGCGCACAATTTCACCAGCTGCAAAGTTATGGGCAACAATGGTACACGCTCGCTTAAAATTTGCCTTCTCACTCTGAATGCGTCACGTTCGCATTATCTCAGGTTTAATAAAAAATAAGTAAATAAAAAATAAAAAAATTTTTTTTTCAGACACCATAGGTCCATAGTTTGGACTATCGTTATATACAAGTGTTGAGATGTCTTTACGATGCTGCTACCATGAGTGTCCAAGTACAGGACCAGCAGTCTGAACCTATCCAATTACGCAGAGGGGTGAGACAGGGGGATGTCATATCCCCGAAACTGTTCACCGCTGCATTGGAGGATATGTTTAAGACGCTGGACTGGAAAAGGATGGGCATTAACATAAACGGCGAGTACATCTCACACTTGCGATTTGCAGATGACATAGTCCTAATGGCAGAATCGCTGGAGGAACTGGATCAGATGCTGAACAGCCTAGCATCCGCCTCGCGGCGGATTGGTCTCGGCATGAACTTTGATAAAACCAAAGTCATGATCAATGACCACATTGATCCGAGACCCATCTGCGTCAATGGCCACCTTCTTGAAGTTGTTTCCGAATACACTTACCTCGGGCAGATTCGGCAGTTAGGTAGAAATAACTTCGAGATGGAGGCCAGGAGGAGGATTCAGCTTGGCTGGGCAGCGTTTGGGAAGCTACGTCGCGTCTTTTCGTCACCCATCCCGCAGAGCTTGAAAACAAAGGTTTTCAACCAGTGCGTCCTACCAGTTCTAACGTACGGACCTGAGTCGTGGACACTCACGATACGGCTAGTCCACCAGTTTAAAGTCGCTCAGCGAGCTATGGAACGAGCTATGCTCGGAGTTTCTCTGAAAGATAAACTCCGTAATGAGGTTATCAGACAGAGAACCAAAGTGATCGACATAGCTCTTCGGATAAGCAAGCTGAAGTGGCAGTGGGCTGGACAATGGACATATCTGCCGAAGAACCGACAACCGCTGGGGTAAACGAGTTCTTGAGTGGAGACCACGACTTGGCAAACGTAGTGTGGGACGCCCTCCAGCCAGATGGAGTGACGATCTGCGGAAGATTGCTGGCAGGAAATGGATGCGTCAAGCCGAGAACAGGGCGAAATGGCGTGCATTAGGGGAGGCCTATGTCCAGCAGTGGACTGCAATAGGCTGATGATGATGATGATGATGAGGTCCATAGTTTGTTAGTAAGCAACCTTATACTATATTAGTAACAACTGACTGGTGAATTTATGGTATATTGTATATGAAGTGTATATTATGAAGTGTATATTAAAATTTTCAAAATCGAGATGTCATCAATAATTATTGAAATATATTATTATGTTAGGAAAAACATCAAATAAAAAATACTTTACCGAGAGTCAACGCTGTGCCTTCTTTTGTCGATGGATGTGAAGAAGTGTCGGAGTTCGCGGTTCTCTTTCAACATCCCGGCTTCCACATCTAAGTATAAAAACCAGAAATTAAACTTGTTTTAAATTTTTATTGAATTGATATTCAATTATTTTTTGTGAAATTACTCCACTAGTTTGTTATAATTATTAATACAAACACCGAACTCTCAGAAAAAATTCCTTCGATCCGGCCGGATTCGAACCGACGTCGTTTAGCATACCGTGCCAGACGCTATACCAACTAAGCCACGACGGAACGAACCAGCGGATCTCACGAATTTTTCTGAATGTTCGATCTTTGTATTAATAATTATATTAAACTATTTTTCGGATCTAATCCACCGTCATAGGGACGATACTTAAAATATTGTAATCTATGTATAGTTAGCTATACTCTACTTCACTATGTTATAAAACGTCCTGATCTACTTTAAACAAGGGACTGGTGTTGTTAACAAAATGCTGTTACATATGCCTACTGCCATAACGTCAAGTCCGGAATCTGTTGTCTTAAGAATCTATACCACCTCAGCTCTAATTCAATTTTTTCCCCTACTAATACGGTTCTATATGGTTTGCTTAGGTCAAATGACAGCGACACTAGCTTTATTTTAGAGTTTTTTTTTTGCAAACGAAATGATATCCATTTGAAAAATGTACATCGTATACTATACGTGTTCTATGTAGTTCAGTTGATATAAAAAAATCATTGGTATATGTAAATTTTACAATAAAACCGCTGTATTCAATATATACCTATTGAATACAGCGGTTTTATTGTAAAATTTCGAGGTAAGTAAAAAAGATTTCTACAGAGATAACTTCGGCTTCGGAATTGTCGTCCTGTTCTTAATATTTTTAAATTAGTAGCAGTAGAGCTCCTTGTGTAATAGTTCGTCCAGGGTCGTACTGCCACCTTACCTATTTCTGCCGCCAAGCAGCAATGTCAGCATTACTGTGTTCCGGTTTTGAAGGGTAAGAAGGGTGCTGGTGAAATTATAAGCACATGAGACACAACTTATGTCTCCGGGTGAAAGGCGCAGTGGCAGTGCCACTCAAATCTTTGCTATTTTAAGCTCTGAGTGGTACTGCAACTGTTATTTTAGGATAGACGTTTCGTGTCGTTTACCACAAGGCGCACGACGGAGGTTAGCATTGTCACATCTGTTTGTTGAATTGTGAATCAAGAATCTTGGCTCTACAGTAGATCTGCATCAGTCACTAACGTGTTGAAATAATTTTTGATTATCGGCCCGTTTCATTTGAGCGATTGAAAAAGATAAGATAATATGAAATAATTTAGTATAAATTGGTTTCCGAAATAAATGAAAACCAGTCATCTAGCACTCAACGACTCAGTCATTTCTGCCTTCACCTCCATTATAGTACAAAGAACTTTCAACGAAATGGTCGCGATTTATGGTTTTATTATATATTTAAGACTTTTATGGCATAT